CCCCCCGCCGCCCTGGCACACCTGTCTAAGGCGGCAGGGCAGCCCGTCAGAGCCTGCCCAGTCCCGAGCCCACAGCCAGCCTCCCTGGAGCTCGCGTTGGAGCGAGGCAGAGCTGGCCATCACCCGGTGTCCTTCCTGCCTCCTGCACAGGGGCCATGTGGGGACGGGGCGGCAGGGCGCGAGGGAGCGAGCGCGGACGCGGCTGGTGCTTACAATGCTTTTCCTCCCTGTCAAACCAGGAATCATTAGTCGAGAAGATGCAGAAGAGCTCCTGGAGAGCATGGCCGAGGGCGCGTTTCTGGTCCGGGTCAGTGAGAGAATCTGGGGGTACATTTTGTCCTACCGGCTGCAGAAGGGGTTCAAGCACTTCCTCGTGGACGCCTCCGGGGACTTCTACAGCTTCCTGGGCGTGGACCCCAGTCGCCACGCCACACTCACGGATCTCATCGACTTCCACAAGGTACCCTCAGGGCTGCCCGTGGAGAGGGGCCTGGGCAGAGACAGGGCAGTGCGGCAAGTCTGTGGGCAGCGCAGGCCATCGGCGAAGAGGGGCCGAGCTGGGCCGAGCTGGGCTGGGCCGGGCTGGGCCGGGCCCCCTTTCAGGCCTGGCTCACCCTCTGCCCACATGTGAACCCAGCCCCCAGGCTTCTTCTCTCCTTGAGTCCCCACGTGCTCCTTGCTTTCCACCTTTGGGATCAGCGAGCCAGCCCCAAGACCAAGCCCAAGCCCACGTCGGAGCCCCTCGGAGGGAATGCCCTCTCGAGGACATCCCTGCCAGCCCCTGGACTCTGCGAGCCCACTGCAGTGGGCAGCGGGGGCTCTTCTTGTGGTTGTCGGGGCCTTACTGAAGCTAGCTTTACCCCCGGGGGTGTGTGTGGCCTGGATGGGGTGCAACTGCACGAGCCCCCGTGCTGTAGCCGGAAGGCTGGGCGGTAGAGCGCTAGGTGGGGCGTAGAGACCCATGCTCTGGGGCTAGTCTCGTTGCGGGTGCCCTGTGTCCCTGCGTGGAGCCCGCTGGGAAGATGCTCCACGGGGTAAGACGCAACTCCTGCGTTAACGTGAGCTGTGAGCAGCACCTGGAGAGAGCGGGAGCTGGAACGGGGGCAGGACGAGGGGTTCCGAGAGCCCAGGGCCGGCCTTGGCCTGGCTTCCGTGGGCAGAGAAAGCTCAGAGGTCGCTGTCTCGCTGGGCCTCCTCTCAGGGACGTGGACTGTGCTTCTGTTTGCTCTCTCTTCATCTCTTTAGGGACGTGCCAGGCCTATGGACAGCTCTTCACCTGTAGGCACATGAACATGGCAGGGCCAGAAAGCACAGAAGCCCCGTCCACGGCCACCCGACACTGGGTACAGGCACCATCCGGAGAGCCAGAGTGACCAGGGCTAGGCGGCTTTCTCCTTGCCATGGATGGGCCTCCTGATAGCAGAGGGAAGAGGGAAAGTGGGGAGGTGACACACTGTGGGTCTGCCATCGCTGCTGCCCTCCACGCTCCTGCTGGGTCATTGTGAAGGCTCTGCCCAGACCTGTGCCTCCACGTCATGGACCAGGAGACCAAGGCTGGGAGGCGGGATGTGTGGCTGAGTGTCCACGCCCAGAGCTGCCAGGACAGGAGCTGTGCCCCCGTCTTTTCTTCGAACATGGACTTCCACAGAGGTGTGCCACGTGCTCCCTGCCAGGAGTCCCTGGACCAGGCGTGCTTCAAGCAGCCATGAACGGCCGTCTCAGGACAGGCTCCTACGCAACTGGGCCCAGACAGGTGTCTGAGTCTTCGCTCTCTTCCAGATCTGAGCCTTTGAGACCGAGGTCCCATTTCTCTTTTTTCCCCCATTGCCAGATGGTAATGATGCTCGCCAGAGACAGAGAGGGAGGGAGAGCACACCGGCGAGGGGTCATCACGGCGGGAGTTCCGGCTCTCACACACGTGTTCTGGCATGGTTTTCAAGCTGCTGGGGCTGGAGTTTGAACCACAGTCAGCCACGTGGGGCCCAGCTCTCCACCACCGGGCCACTGGGCGGGCCTGGTGATTTTATTTCTAACTAGAGGGAGATATCTCTGTCCCCGTGGAGATCTAGTGGCCAACTTCTATAAATTACAAGCTTCATTTCACAGTTACAACATCATTGCATTCTGAGAAAAAAATCAAACACAACATGTAGTGGGATCTTCATGCATTTTTATTTTTAAAGTGGGCTGTGGGCATTTAACTCTGAGTGCAAAACCAGGGCTTGTAATCTTTTTTTGTTTGTTTGTTTAAGATATTTTTGCTATAGGGCGTGTGTGCTCGCCAGAAAGACAGAGAGAGACAGAGATAGAAAGCAAGAAATCACCCCCCAGGGGGGATGGTCACGCCACAATCCTTTCTCCTCCGTTCTCCTCTCGGGATCTTGGGCACGCACGCACACGCGCCCGGTGTGAGTTTTAAGCCACCAGGTCCGGGACACGAACCGCGGTCGACTACGTGGGAGTCCAGCGACATAGCTATTACACTAACTGCTGGTCTCCATGCATTTTGAAGTTTCTGCTCTCCACCTTGATTATTAGCTTGCCACGTACCTGGCTGAGCACGTCCGGCCTGGCAGCATTGCCACTTTTTGTGGGAGTGTGATAAGGCTTCACCTTTCTTCAGTATTTAGTGGAACAGATCGGGCAGTGTAAAGCGGGGCTCAGAGTCACGGACCTCCTGGCGACGGCAGACGCATGAACCCTGCTCAGCTTGATCCAGGACGGCCAGTGGGTCTTGCCCTGTGTTTAACGGCCACTGAAACTTTCGGATTCCCCGAGTCCTCTGTGGCGCCCTTTCTGCCTCGCCGTCTCGCTCTTATTTGTGGGGCCGCTCCTCGGCTGTGTCCGTCCTGCTCTCAGTCCTGCTGAGGGCTTTCTCTTTAAATGGGCATGCTCCCACTCCCAGGTGCTTTAATTCAAGGTTAATGCCCCCTTTTGCTTCACGGGTGACTTACCTTCTTATTCCCCTAGGAGATAAAGACACATCTGTGTTTCCTTTATTTTTTAATGTGAAAGAGAGTGCAGGAGGACGAGAGTAAGACAGTATTTGACAGGATGTGGCCACCTTGCGATCCTTCCTGCCCATCTGCAGTCAGCGAGAGCGCAGGCCAGCCCACGAACGCGGCCGGGATTAGCCAGTGTGGTCTCTCCTCGGTGGCCTCAGCCACCACGCACACGCATGCTGCCCACCGCGCCGCTGCCATGGGGTCAGAGGCTCCTGTTTTAGAGACTCGATGATCTGGGGTTCAGCTCGTGCTGAATCTCATGCCTTGCCGTGGTTTCCCTGGAATGCGTGTAGACGTTGAGCCGTGAGGATACTAGCTAAGTCCCAATTTCTCCATGGACACAGCTCTGTCCACACCCTGTCCTGGTGCCCACCCATTGCACGTGAGCAGGTCTCGACTCCCAGATCCCTCGGTCCCCGGGGGGCTCGTGCTCCCCGTTTCCTGAGCTGCCTCTACGTGGGGCTCCCTGGCCTCCCCCCGACCTGCGCTCGCCTTGACAGTGGCCACCTGCTCTTCATGCGCCTCCTCGGGGCCCGTCTGGTCACCTTGACTGTCGCTCTCATGGGCAGCTTCTCCCCTGCGATTTCAGGAACTTCGGGAAGGGGTGGGTGGAGCTGTCTCTGCGGCGTGTCTCCCACGTGGTCACACGTGAACTGCCTGTTCCCTCAGGAGGAGGCCATCACCGTGTCAGGCGGGGAGCTGCTGCAGGAGCCCTGTGGACAGAGGGCCAGCCCCCCAGATTACCACCTGCTGTTCCAGTGACCTCCTTCCGCTGGTGCCCTCAGGCGTCCCCCTCCTGAAGTCAGCCGAAGAACTTCCAGCCTCAGGCGCTGCAGCCCTGCTGGGGCCCACCCCGGAGAGGAGTGTGGACTGGGCTCAGGGCCATGCAGACGTAGCATCCGATGTGCAGGAGTTACTGCGAGCCGCCCCTCGGAGGGGTGCACTGTGGCCTGGGAGGACCTGCTTCCTCGCTGCGTGCTGAGCTTGGGCCCGGCGTTCAGAGCACAGAGTAGCTCCAGGGCTGACCATATATAACTTGGTGTGTGCCGAGTGCATGTGCCGACCCAGACATAACACGCATGGGCACACGGTCGGTGTGTGCTGAGTGCACATGCTGACCCTGGACGTAACACGATTAGCACGTGCTGACCCAGACGTAACACACGTGGACACACAGTCAGTGTGTGCCGAGTGCACGTGCTAACCCAGACGTAACACACGTGGACACGTGGTCAGTGTGTGCCGAGTGCACGTGTCGACTCAGACGTAACACACGTGGACACACAGTGTGTGCCGAGTGCACGTGCCGACCCAGACGTAACACACGTGGACACGTGGTCAGTGTGTGCCGAGTGCACGTGCCGACTCAGACGTAACACACGTGGATACGTGGTCAGTGTGTGCCAAGTGCACGTGCTGACTCAGACGTAACATGTGAGAGTTGGTGTGTGCCGAGTGCACGTGCCGACCCAGAGGTAACACACGTAGACATATGGTCAGTGTGTGCCAAGTGCCCGTGGCGACCTGGACGTAACATGATTAGACACGTGGTCCGTGTGCTGAATGAACGCACCTCTTCTGACGGGCTTCCGCAGCCTGTAGCAGTGTTTCCTGTGAGCTTCAGTGAGCGTCGGGGACGTGTGTGGAGGACGTGACTGGCTCTTCCACGGTGACCACTGTTAGCGTGGCCGACGCTGCTGCTGGGATCGCAGGAGGCCTGGGGGCCCTCTCTAGGACAGGCCCTGCCGTCCTGCTGACCTACTCACTCCGCCCACCTGG